TGACTCCCAAACCACACCCCCAGCCCTGCCAGTGCCTCTCACTCCCGACCTGCAGCCCCCTACCCCATACTCACTACCTCCTGGCAGCAGTTTCCCCCCCTGCACCAGGATGCCTGTCCAACTGCAGCTGTTCCCCACATTGCCTTGTGGTGCTGAGCAGCCCTGCTATGCCCAAGCCATACCTCCCTAGCCCTCTTGGTGCTCTTTGCTGCTGATCCACAGCCCCCTGCTCTTCTGACCCTGCTGGTGCCCCCCTGCTGCCTCAAACTTCCTACCCTGTTGCACTGTATGCCCAGGCATCCCCCTCACTGTACCTTGCACCTGGGCCTCCCCATCTCCCCCTATCTGACCTGGCTGCCTGCTGACCTGATGCATTGCACCTCTTGGGTGTCCCAGGCCACCAGCTCCCCCAGCACTACAGGCTGTGCAGTGCTATACCACTCCACACCCTGGGGCAGGGGAAGGGAAGGTTGAGGGAGAAGGAACCCAGAAACCCATGCTGGTCCTGCAACCAGAACAATGGTGGGGAGGGTGGCCAGGTGGGAGAACGAAGAGCCACAATGTGGCCCCTTGTGAGTCATGTGCATATCCCTCTCCTAGATGATGGTGGCAGTGGCAGCCATAATGGCAATTTAATGCACCTCAACCTCCAAGAAGGTGTGGTGACCCATCAACACCCCACCTGCATTAAAAAATAAAAACATATTTGATGATCTCAACTATAAGCATCAACTCCCACTTTAATTCACTGTCTTAATACCTAGCTTTTACACAGCAGGTAAATATCATCAATTCAGTATACACAACATATATACAAGGATCATGGCTAGCAGATTCTGCTGCAGGAGTAGGCCCATTGATATGCACTACATTTTGCATGTAGAGTAGGTCTATATTTAATCTTTTAAGCCCTGTCAGCCTTCCACTTCTCCTTTACTTTGAAGTTGAACTAAAACGGAGAAAAATGTGACAAATCATTTCAACCTGTTCAATAATGTAACATGCAGACTATGCATGCTTGACATTTCCCTTCCCATTGTAGTGAGGAAATGTTAGTCATCATGTCAGGTATTTGGCACTCATAAAAGAGAAAAAAAATAAGAGCAGGAGGAAAAAATCCAAATATAATTCCAAATCTTCAGTATTTTGGTTTTGTTAGAGAGATAATACATACAAAACATTAAAGATTAAACCTGCAGAGATTAGCAGAAACAACAAGTGTAGGGAGACCTGAACAACAGAACATGAGATAAAGAATGAATACAAAGCTAAATGCTGTTTATTTAAACTGATTGAGGAGGCTTAACTGGGATTAAATTTGGATCCTGCATTTTTGCTGTGGTTTGGTGAAAGGAGTGGAGAGATCCAAACAAATTCAGGAGGTAGGGAGAGACAGCATCAAAGAAACTACAATTTAAAACAGTTTGGGAAGCTTCTGTGGAACCTACTGGACAAAAAGCTTGTTCCATGTGGCTTCTGAATGAGGGTGAGATCTCAGGTTTTGGGGCCAAATGTTGAATGGGTTTAGATTTTGAAATCAAGCTGACTGGCCAGATTCTTGCATAGTATAAATTGCTATAGCTTCATTAGATCTAATTTATAATGGATCCCAAACTTTACAATGGGGACCCGTTCCATGGTGTCTGAGAAAGGGCCTAACCAAGAAAACTCTAGTTCTTTTCATTACGGGAGGAGGGGAGGAGTAAGCTCCATGGAGGTTGTTAGCACACAGCCTACCCATTCACAATGTACACTAGCTTTTGTGGTTTGCCCATCTGTGCATAAGTAGGATATGCAGTTTTAGATATTCAGCCATCCTGCAGGAATGCCCATCACTAATAGAGTGCTGGAAACATAGATCCCCTTTATGTTCACCCTTCCAAAAAAAATCAGGTGGAGGTTAAGCATGACCTAATTGTTCATATTTGTTCATGTGAGCACACACCAGTGTCAGCTACTTTGGATTATAATTTTGGTGAAATGCAATGTAATTCTGCAATACTTCTCACCTGGCCAACCAAGACAGATGTAGAGGCACACAGATAGGTAATGCCAGCCATGTTGTGAAGTATGATATAGAAATTAAAATCTCACTCAATACTGGTAGATTAAAATTGCTTAAAACAGGTCTGATCCAAAACCCTCTGACATCAATAGGAGATATTCCATTAACTTCAGGGTACAGTCAGTCAAGCTCACAGTTACAGGTTGATCTACAATTTCCACCAAAAGTGTTTCCTTTTTTCTTTTCTGTACTTTTTAAATAAAAACTGTTTTTTTGTGACAGATCAGAAATGTTCAAGAGAACTAATAAATTTCATAAAACCTAAATCATGTTGCTTAAAATGATTTAAAAAATCTTAAGAAATGTGGATGAAAGGGAGTTTCTCATTTTTGTTACATTCCCCCTTGCCCCACAAAATGTCAATTTTCTAGACAGCTCTACTTATGATACAGAATTTCTACATATTAAAAAGTAAATACATGATTTGTCCTACCTTGAAAATGCTGCTACATTATCAGCTAAGGTCTGCTGATCATCTGCTCCTGATCGGTAATAATCATACACTGATTTTGGAAGAACTTCTTTAGCATGTTGTTCAAAATCTGCAATACAAACTGGCTTTCCAGACATTTTGCAGGTCCCAAAGAACAAGGTTTTTCCAACTTCAATCTCTTTTTAGCTATATTTTTCCTCTCTGTAAATCATTAACACAAAACTTCAACAAAGTTCAAGTAGCTGTATTTAATTAACTACATCAAAAAAACTGTACAAACAATCTGCCAATGTGTTGGACATTCCTTTTGGACATTGCCCTATGTGCTGATTTATATACTGAGTTACAGGCCCAGTTTGCTCAGATCAGATCAAGTTCACAATGGTCCAAACCATGGCTGAAAAAGGAGGAAGAAACAAATGAATACATAAGCAAAACAAACATGTTAGCACCACATGGATAAGTAAATTTTTCTGGCAAAGCCTACAGATTACTTGGTCAGCGACCATGTGTCCTGAGTGGCCACAGCTATGATGTGATGGTCGACACACTCATTGTGGGAATGCTCAGAGCCTGGGACCCCAGCAATGAGAGCATCCTGCATGCCTGCTGCATCTCCCACCGCTACACCAAGCTAATGCACTGCCTCATGGGGTTCAACACCATCTATTGGTCTCATGACATCTACGTCAAACACATCACAGGCCACCGCCAGTACACCAACCCCACCAGACCGGACCCAGAATGGACCACCTGAACCCCCCTCTATACCTAATGGACTCCAAGAGGAACCTTCAGCGATGCACCACTCCACCCGAAGAGGACCTCTGTGATGAGACCCTATATGTACTGAGAAACTTTCCCCAACCTATGCCCTCCACCATTGCGGACCATTGTAAGGGTTTGTGTGCATCTATCTTCTTTCTCTCTGAACATTGCGACCCCCCCCCCCCTTTCCCCCACTGTGGCGGGGCACTGCAGGTGCCTGCCACTTTAAGGGCCTGGGCTGGTAGCTGCCAGGTGCTGGATAAGGGCAGCCATTTTGAACCCGGGGCTGCCCATATGAACAGGACAGTTTTGCTGCTGAAGGCTGGTCAACTGCTGGGCTGCTAGTATTATCTGGAGGTAAGAGAGGAGCTGTAGGGGATGGTTTTGGAGGCTCCTGGTCCTGGGCATGACCTAAAACTGCACCCTGCCAGGAGTGGGTGCCTTAGTGGGGCTCTCTGTGGCATGGAAACCCCCAGGAAATGCCAGGCCAGTAACCACTCTGGTAAAAGGCAAGTAGGGGCACCTTAACCCCAGCCCTCACCTTTGGGTGCGTAGAGGTAACATGGGTAGTAGCACCATGACCTGCTGCCCCAGGGGGGAGTGCATGTCCCTTGTGAGACCCTGGGGCACCAGTCGTGGTGTGAGGTGCCCCAGCTCCCCACATCCAGGAAGGGGGATCCGGAGAGACTGGGGCTAGTGAGGCTGGCGGTAGAGTGCCCCTCAACTGGTCCAAGCTGGGGCCAGGGCCGAGATGGTCAAAAGGGCCAGGGGCCCACTGTGAGGGGCACTACAGGTTGTGGGCCTGGGGCCCTGCCTGGCCTTAGAGGTGAGGCCAGGGCCTGTGTATGGCCGAAGGTCCCGAGCAGGGGACCACACCTGAGAGGGAGCCAGCTATGAGGAGCTCAGCAGCCAGAATGAAGGTGACGTAGGCCACCTGAGCGGAGGGTTCAAAGGAGGGTCCTGCCAGGAAGATTCTGGAGCCCAGTGTGGGGCTGGAGTGCTTGTTAACATCTGGATCCCATCTGTGAGGCTTGGGCTGTGGTGTAGGGGTGGTACAGAGCCACGGGCACCCCCCTAATATCGGGGTGTAAAGGAAAATGGGCAGCCTCCCACCTTTTTAACAGCTTATTAATTTTCCAGCAAGTTGTGGCGGGTGACACAGGCAGGCAGCATGCCCGGAGGCAGGTGGGAGGCTGGCAACGGCCGGCCTGAGAGAAACCTACTTTGCTACACCCACCCCATTCCCCCACCCCCGGGCTTAGTTGGCTAACTTTGTATTTTCTGTAACCTAGTTGCATTCCCCTCCTCACCCTCATCCCTCTTATATTAGTCCCTCGCTCGGGCGCTCTGTATTTCCCTTCTGGCTTTGTCATCTTTTTGGCTCATGACTCTTAACATCTACTAATAAAATTCATTCTGAATATTGCCAGTGCTAAAGAAAGAAGAGGAGGAACTACTAGATATGCTAAAACTGCAACAGCAAAAAAGGGCCTGGTCATCAGAGTAGGCTGCAAGCTAAATGCGAGTCAACAGTGTGCTCTTGCTGCAAAATTAAAGAAAAAAGCAAATAGCATATTGGGTGTAATAACAGGAGTGTCACCTGCAAGTCAAGGGAAATGATTCTTCCACTCCATTCAGCACTGCTGATGCCTCACCTGGAGAACTCTATCCAGAAGGGAAAGAAAGATGAACAAATTGAAAAGGATTCCAGCAAAGGCCAACAAAAATTAGTAAAGGTCCAGGAAATACAATTTACAATGAAAATCATAACTGGAGTTATAAGTCTGGAAAAATGAAGACTGAGGGGTGTATTGACAACTACAGGAAGAGTGGTTATAAAGAGGCTGGTGAGGTTATCTGTGGCCATAGGGTGCATCCACGCATGCAAGCACATGCACTTACAGCAACCCAAATAGAAGCGGTGGAAATTTGAGCTGGGGCTTTTTGCTTCAGTGCACATGGTTGGACATGCACTTTGTTGTGGAGCAAATTGTGCCACTTGGAGCAAAATAACCCTGCCCAGCTCCTCCCAGGTCTGCAGCCAGGGGAAGCTAGAGTCCAGGACCAGCACCTGTGCTGTCCCCAGCAGTATAAAAAACTGCCCTGTCCTGGCCCCATCAGTACAAAAAGCTGCCCTGTCAAGTAGCTCAGGAATACTCACTCTCAGGAGCTTCTGGGGCCCAGCCATTTGGTACCTGGGGATGATATCCCTTGTGCCAGCTGGACTGCTGAAGCAGCACTGAGAGTTCCCTGCACCCTTTACCCACTGCAGCAGTCTGGCAGTGGGGGCTGCTGCCTGGCTGTGACCTGCTGTGCACCTGACAGACCCAGATGGGGACTGCACAGCCAGTAGAGGCATCTGCCTCGCTGGGCCAGCTGCCAGTGGGCTGTGGCTGCAGAGTTGGCCTCTGTGCCACACTACTGCCACATGTGCTCCCTGCCCAGAAGATGTGCCAGGTTTGGTGGCCTGCTTTGAACTGTCAAACCATGTCCTCCTAGTCCCATTTGGCCAGGACGAAAGCCACAGCCATCTGGGTCCAAGGTGCCAGCTCTGAGCAGGCAAGGTCCTGCCACTGGTCTCCCTAGCAGGAATTCTGGTGTTCCCTATTGGAAAACTGAAAAATCCCTGATAAAAAAAATCCCAAAGTCACTCTGTAAAATACCCTAAAATCCATGTTCCTCCACAAGTAAAACAAAAGACCACTATAAAGAGAGAGACAGAGACAGAGACAACGATCAATTGGACAATGTTTTATTGATGTATCTACAGTGTTAAAACATGTCTTTTATCATAATAATGTGAACTCTAAATACGTTTTATGAATTCATGAATACATGAATATATATTTTGCTGCCCTGCCACAGTGGCTACAGCCCCCACACAGGAGTTATGGCCCCCCCAACAAGGGATTCGGCCCCCACAGGGGCTACCACCACCCCTGAAAATCCCACATGCCCCACCCCAGCCCCCCTGATTGCTACCCTACCTGGCCCAATCCCCCACCAGTTGCTGCAGCCCCCCCAATGGCTGCCCCACGAGAACCCATCCCCCACTTGCACCCCCAGGTCCCCATGGCTGCCCCCCCAACCCCAGGCATCATCACCTTAAAGAAAAAGAAAAAAAAATGGGAAAAAAAGCTTCTACTTACCCTAGAAGAAGGGCTGGGGGACCTCCTGGAAGATCCCCTCTGGGCAGCACAGGGCAGTGAGGGGGCAGGAGGGCCTGGGCTGGGGCCATTGGGGCTGTCCCTCTACCCCATGCTGTGCGGGCAGGGCCCCAGTGATAGAAACAGCAGCTGGACTGCCTGTAAATGCTGGGGTGGGGGAGTTCATTGTTTTTTTTAAACTATGGGGATGCTGGAGTGGGGGGGCAGGGATCGGGGACCTCGAGGGGGCAGGCAGGGAAGTGATCAGGGGGCTTGGGAGGCAGGCAGGGGGTGGGGCCAGGCAAAGCAGGGCTGGGGGGAGCTGGGGGAGTGGG